TATATTAATATTTATATCATATAGTATTTGTCTAATTTTTGTAAATACATAAATACGATAGAGAACGTTAATAAACGATCAAAATTAGATATTTCTAATAATATAATATATATTCTTCGTTAAATCAATTTATTTAAGATATGATTACGAGCCGAAACACTTGTCATAAATATTTTTGTAAACAGATAATAAGTATTTTTGTAAAAAATTGTAATAAATCATTAATGTGTTTTTAAATGATAATATATACATATTATCATTTCGTACATATATACAACGAGCAGAAAAATGATTGTAAAAACTAGTTTCCTTAAATAATATTATTAAATAATATTATTAGGAATGGACATATAATATAATCATCCATTCATATTTCAGGAATATTGTTAATATTATTAATTAATATTATTAATTTTAATATAATAAAATATTATTAAAACACATTTAATATTATAAGAATATGCCTAAAACATTATCTATTATTAAATAATAATTTTTATTTATATTTCAGATTGATTGCGTTGAAAGTCCGACAACCATATCGGCACGCAATTATAATTTCTGAAATTAATTCATTTAAATGAATATATATATAATAGTTCAACATCTTCTAACATTAAGTAGTGGCGCTTCGTATTTAAAGTAATGTATCTTAAATAATAATATTATTATTAAATAATATTAAATATTATTATTATGTGTTTATAGTAAAATTATGTCATAAATAGATTCAAAAATATAAAAAGTAACAGTAAAAGTAACTGTAAAATTTACGAGAAAAGTAACTTGTAACAATAACTTACAGGTAACGAGTTACTTTCATTCATTGAATATTTATTCGCGACAACAAATGAAGATTTTTTTTAATGTTTATCAACTGTAATTTCATACTATATAATTTTAATTACATATTTATTATACAATATTGATAACATTTTCATGTTGATAACAAAAAACGATAACATAGTATCCTTTACAAAAAAGTTCTCAAATTCAAAATGCACAACAAAGTTCATTCGTGGAAGCTTAAATTTTTTAAATTATGAGTATAAATCTATTGTGTTTGTGACATATCGTGACTATGAAGGCGTTTCTATGTACTTTTATTCTCGGCTTTAATTGGAATTGTTTTTACAAAATTTGTATATACACATTGATGTATTATAATAGTACACTACAGATTGATACATAATTACAAAAAAAATTTTATTACAAACAATTTTTATATATTATTGCATTATATCTATCAATTTGTGAGAAGTGAACGTCACTAAAAATGTATAAAGATATCTTCTATAAATAAAAAATGTTTATAGATATAAAAAATGAATATTTTAGCAGGATATATATTTTAATTTACTTTAAGAATATAATATCTTCATAATACGTATATCTATTTATTTTAACTCATTATCGGAAATAATATTTTTTTAAATATAACATTATGGCACATTAAAGAATCAATAATTGCAATAACACGTTAAGAATTTCTACTTGCATTGAAAAATATGATTAACAACACTAAAAGGTTCTAAGATGCTCAACGTACAACGTATAAAGGAAATTTACATTAGGTTTATTTTTTAGAACTTATTATTTATTTAATAAATTTGAATAATTTTGTGTTTGAAATTGTCAGCTAAATTAATAATCATTAATAAACTTCTTTTAATTCAATTTTCCATCTTCTTTTAATTAAATACGGGATCATCTTCAAATTCCACTAAACTTTCTAATAATACAAGACTAATAGGCTCTGTTTTGAGAATTATTTAAAAAATCTCACAAAAAATTATATTATTATTCAAATTTTTATTATTAAATATTTATTTATATTTATTATTATTTATATTTATTATTGAATATGTCATATGGAGCAATTTTACGTATTCTATTTACTATCCATTGTACATCGTGCTGGAAAATGTATTCTCGATCTCAATATGATATAATGCTAATACCACAATTAAATCGAGTGTTAGCTTTTTTCGTTTTAAGGTAAAACGCAAGAAATATTTATTCTATATAGATAAAGCGAGACTATAAAGAGATAAAAAGCATATATGGACAAATATGTTTTAATTAAAATTAATGTTTTAAATTCAATATTATAAAAATAAATAAATGGATAATATTATCTGATTTATGCCATGCTTATGATAGAATAAACATATATACATCAGTAAAGTTAAATAAAAATTATATATTATTAATTAAATATTTGTCGATGAAAACGCTGACATAATAAAGTAGTGAGTCATCTCAATGCAATTGATAAAGATTCCATAATGAGATTTTCTTACATATTGAAGCAGAGTAAATCCAAATGTATGTCCCTGTTTCATGTCATAATAAAGGATAATCAAATCTATGCAGAGATCAATCTTTATGCAGAGAGATCATGTTGTTTAGCAAACGTCAATGATCCAAATTAAGGTAATTTAGAGTAAAATATTAATATGGAAACAGAGAGATCATATCTGATGTGTTAACGCAATCGATGTTCGAATTCACATTTGAATTATAAAATTAAAAAAAAGATTGCGAAAATTAGTAGAGGATTTTTTTACTTAATTTAGTCCGCTTTACCTGTCTTTACAACGAGAGATTATGCGATCATTACCGATCACCTTATATATAAAAATACATTATAAGAATAAAATTAACTATAAATTTTATGTTTATATTAATACGTTATATTATTGTTATTACAAGAATAATTTTACGTATTTTTACTTTACAAAAAACATTATATTCTGCATATAACTTCAATATATGAAAGTTTATCAAAGTTATCAGCATCGAACTCAAGTTGACACGTATTGTTAAAAGCCACGTATGTAAAAAGCATCCACATTTGTGTTCAGTATAAAGACATAATATTACACAAGAATAGTTACATTTATGCATAAACGATTATAAACGTAACTATTCTTGTAATATTATATCTTTATGGCCTTGTAATAATACATACGTATGAATAATTCCGCGAAAAGAAAGACAACCTAAACTAGATTATCTATATGTTTATTCTATGTATCGCGTTTAATATTTGCTAGTTGAATATACATTATACATACATTATCTATTAATGTACATATTTTACAATGTAATTCTCACAAAGTTTCTAGAGGATCTGCAAAAACTATTTCTGAAATTCTTATAAAAAATATTAAAACGCGTTTGTGTCTCGTACAGCAAAAACTAATTCAAATTACTAGCCAACGATTCGGAAACTATGACAAAGACGCGACAGACAGCGTTGGCACTATTATTGATCATCGCTCGTTCTGCAATTTTAGGTTTATTTGAATATCCACTTGGACAAACTAGGCCGTATCTCTCTTGTCTGTATATCTTGGTCGCATGGAGCTATTTTACGTATTCCATTTACTATCCATTGTACATCGTGCTGGAAGATGTATTCTCGATTTCAATATCATATAATGCTAATATCACAATTAAATCGATTGTTAATTTCTTTCGTTTTAAGATAAAAATTTTAAAATATATACTACCGGTCGCGTTAATATTACTTGATTTTTAAAAATTTTTTAATCTTTGTTTAATCATTTTTTGCATTAAGTGCATTAAAGGAGTTTTGATCTCACAATTATAGTCAACATACGAATATAAAATATACAAATATAAAAAGTTTTTAAATAGATCAATTTTTACATTTATATTGTTTATTGTAGACAAAATATATATTAAAATTAATGTTTGTATTTATATTATTTTGCTAAATTGGATTTCGATATAATTTTTTTTCTTATCTAAATCTTATGTTTCAAATATTAATTAAATTGCAATAACTCTTTTATCTATTACATTTCCTATGTATTATATATTGCAATAACAATTTCTAATCAATGAAAATTATAGAGCTAGAAGGTCTTTAATATCAAAATTATTAAAACAATTAATAAAATAAATTCTAACAAACATTTCTATCCCGATCGATTATTCTCAATGTTAACATAACTTATAATTTAAAAATTAAATCGATACACATAATGTGATCGTTAACGCAATGATAAAATTATGAAAAAACAAAAATTAAACTATAACATTTTTTTAATACTCACTTTTGTTTCCTCAGTAGTAAAAAAAAACGGTTGTCGTTTACCAAAGTTAATGAAAGCAGCCACGACTTTTCTGTGCGGGTCGGAATTTCTTTTTGCGCAACGTATAACATCAAAGTATAAAAACTGTTAAAAATGGCGTCAAATCTAAAAAATTACAATATGCTTGTAAATGAGCATTGTCGTGATTGCAGAATAAATATAACAAGACAATTGAGTATAAATTAAATCCCTAAAAATAAAAAAGTACCTGGCAAATTGATTGCAATCCATTTAAAAACGAATCGACGAATACTTAATTAATATAAAAAGCTATATATATATATATATAAAGCAACATAAATTGAACAAATTTTGCACAAGAGAACTCGAGTCCAAATTATAAATGTTCACTTGGTACGTTGTAAAATAATAATGATTGTTATAACGAAGGCAGGGGATAAGTAGGTGAGTAGAAGTGCAAAAAGGAGGGGATATCCAAGGAACGTTAGGAAGGGGATAATGATTGTAGAATGGCAAGACACGTATCATCTGCAGATAAAGATTCTTTAAAAAACTATAGTAAGTTTCTATTAAATTGTCTTAATTTTGGCGATAAACATAATATACATAATATGAGTATTTAATTAATTATTTTGGTGCATATTGTACTACTTTATAGTACATTATTCTTTAAATATATATATATTGCTAAAAAGTGCTCGGTGTAATAGGATTAGCGCCATCTCTGGGCGCGATCCGTTACTCGCTCACTCGATGAGGAGACAACACCTTTCCCGACACTTCCATGGATTCCGCGCTGTCGCTGTCGATCGACGTGGTACTCGTGCTCGTCGACGTCGTCGTTGTCGTCGAAAGAGAGGGACATTGGCAGCACTGACGATGCTCCTTTCCAGATGGTATCTCCTGTCTCCGGTGACTAATACGATACGCGACCATACGCGATTAACGTGGATACTACGGAGAGGAGGAACGTTTCGAACGGCCCGTTTCGTGCAACGCGTGAAATGAGCATTCCTTGAGTCGCAGTAAGTGGCGAGGTGCACGAACGCGCATCCTTTCTTTCTCATTCTCTCGCGCTCTCTTTCTCAGTTTCCCCTCTGCATCGTCGTCTGTCGTGATTGTTTACCGCTGAGAGGCAACGCCGACTTGTCGCCGATCACTCTCTCCTTCAGCTCGAGGATACCCTAGTCGAGTAACACCTTCTCGGTCGACGATATCTAGCTAATCTAGCGACTACGCTCGATCTCCGTGTATTCGTCCGCAAACATTTCTCACACGATCACGCGATTGTTAAGACGGCCTGCCGCTTATTTATATCACTCCCCCTTTTTTTTTCCTGTTCAAAAGCCGTCCAGGACACGGAACTGCCACCGAAAAATGATCTAACTCGTAAGGTGAACGTCACGCGCGCGCCTAACTCCGTTAAGACACATGTAGTAATTGCGAATGACTAATATCCAGCGATTATATGATTGCGTTGGGTAAAAGACGGCACTAAGCTATCACTTAATAAGCTAAACAACTTGAAGATTATTACTGCTGTGAATGCTCTTCTCTCATTAAGCCATGTTGGCCTGTACGTTTCACAATGCATTTCTCCTGTTAAACGTGTCTTTGACATGTCATAAAAACTAGCATTCTATAGATAAAAATAGCAGACAAATAGAAAGGTAGAAGTTTATAAGTTCAGTAAGAAATCATGCGATGGTTGTAAAACCGCTTTTTCTACCGAATGCGAGAGATAATTGTCAACAACCAATAGGAAATAAAGGCTTATAACGATCAAAACTGGATCTTTAATGTTTAAATAATTTTATGTGAATTTATATACTTTATGTGTATATACATGTATATATATATATATATATATATATATATGTATATATATACATATATATATACATAAACACATGTATATATATATATATATTTATAATCACTTGACTGCGCGACGAGATTTTTTTTTAAAACGCAGCTGAATTACTGTAGTAATATCAATTAAGTTTGATGTTCAATAGACATCTATTAAAAAGATATCTTGATGTGGAAATCTGTAAATAAATTTATTTATTATTAGATAATTGTCAATTAGAGAGCTTTCAAATTATATATACTGTCCATTATATTTGTTGAAAAAATGTGCTTCGAAAATAAGTTAAACTATTATTTGGAGTTGAGTTAAACTTAATTTATAAGTACTGTTTCTTTATAAAATTTTTTCCTTATTTGATAAGTGATAAAAAATAAAAAGACTTAATGTAATTGATGAAATCTGCTTGACTAAATTTTAATCGATTATAAATCAATTTTTATTTTGTACACAATCATTTTCCATCTTCCAATTAATTTTTGTATCAACTACTATTGCAATATACAGATAAGTTTAATCTCTATTATTTCAAAATTTCTAAAAATCATGTCACTTATGGGATAACCTGATAAATTGTTTCATCTGTATGAAGAGTAAATATTAGGTGTTGGAATTAATTCGTAGCGTTTTTTAATGAAAGAATGTTATTTATTTCACATGAGCATTAAAAAATACATTAATGAAAGTACTTCCCATCACTTGTAAAACGCTACGAATTAATTCCAACACCTAATATATAAAAACTTGTAAATTGTATGAAGAATGCAATTTTCTTTTTAATAACAAATTGAATTAATTACACTTAGCATTTCTTTACTTTTAATATGAAACAACTGGATATATATAAATATATGTCCTTGATTTATTTATCTACTTTATCTTATCTGTGTAATGAGATTTCTACAAAAAATTAATTTTTTTTTAAATGAGACTTCTTAATAATAAATTGTATAAAAAGTCTTACCAAAGAGATTAAATTATTATAAAAAAAAGAACACATATATATTTATATATATGTATCATTTTATTATAATTATATCAGTTTTGTATTTATTATTAGCAGACAATCCAAGAAGTGATCAGAGAGAAATAATACAAATCATAAGCTGTGTTAAGAAATTACATTATGACGGAATATAAGCTCGTGGTAGTTGGAGCTGGAGGTGTTGGAAAGTCTGCTTTAACCATCCAACTCATACAGAATCATTTTGTCGACGAGTATGATCCAACGATTGAAGACTCATATCGAAAACAAGTAAGCAAACCAACTTAATTTCTTTCTTGATTTTGTAATAAATTCTAATAATTATTTATTTCACATTGAATTATTGTTCTAATCAATAACGAATATATTTTAATAATATAGGAATCTAGAAGATTTAAAATTACAGCTTATGTTTGTTTTTTTATTTCATTAAATACATCTCAAAATATTGTTAAACAGGTGGTGATCGATGGTGAAACGTGCCTTCTCGATATATTAGACACAGCTGGACAAGAAGAATATAGTGCAATGAGAGATCAGTATATGAGAACAGGAGAAGGATTCTTGTTAGTGTTTGCCGTAAATTCGGCTAAAAGTTTTGAGGTGAGTATGTTAGGTAGAAAGGCAATTTGTTGAGACGATTTTGAAATGACTGCATTACATATTCAACATTACAGGACATTGGTACATATAGGGAACAAATAAAACGAGTAAAAGATGCGGAAGAAGTACCAATGGTCTTAGTGGGAAATAAATGTGATCTTCAACAGTCTTGGGCGGTAAACATGACTCAAGCGAGAGAGGTCGCGCGACAGTATGGTGTGCCATTTGTAGAAACTTCCGCGAAAACGAGAATGGGTGTAGATGATGCATTTTATACTTTGGTAAGTAAACACTTTCTTCTTTCTCTATATCTTTAAAGTATTATATAGTTCAAGTAGCATGATAAAGTACTCATAATATATTTTTATATACCGAAAATTTTTCATAACTACGTTTGAAATAGTTTCGTGACAAGTTTCGAGTGACAAAGTTCCGTCATGCATTTCAGGTCAGAGAAATACGAAAAGATAAAGAACGTACAGGTAAACCACCTGGCAGTAGTGGGCACAAGAAACGTCGATGCTTTATTTTATAAGTCTTTGGATAACACCAATATACTTTTACTCGATTACTACGTAAAAATAGGAGATATGAAAAGCCTTACATTATGTTCACAGCACAAATATTTACAGCTTATCCTATAAAATATTGTAATGAATTGCAAGCACAATTTTTTCTATACATTGAGAGAGAAGAACAAATTACCTAATAGTACGTTTTTACTAATGGGCTTATGTTGCATATAAGAATGTTTACATTTGGCAGCTTGCCATGCAATTCCATTACTGAAGCGTCTTAACCCTTGATTGAATAAAAGAATAGTATTGATTTTTTTAATTACATATATTTAATGTTGGCACAAAAAGACATTGAATTTTATATACATATATATTTTATATATATATATGCTTATAAAATTTCAAAATTACAATTAGTTTGCAAATTTTACTAATATTTGACAAGTGTTGGGCCCTCGTCTTTATAACACGGAAAATTTATAAGACAATTATATATTGCAAGCGTTTATTTTATAGATTTAGTTGATATATGCCATCAATCACATGTTGCACTAATGGATTTTAATTAAACAATATATTAGCAATATATTAGCAAAATAAAATTTTTCAATGAATCGTTGTAATTGTTTATAACTTGTGAATTAAGTTTTATATTATTGCCATTTTGTACCTCAAATAATTGCCAAGTAACTAAAATCATCGTTCTAAAAAGAAGTTCTAAATCACAGAAACGATATTCAAACTTAATTCATTATGTGCTGTGATTAGATATTCTTAAGTACATCAAGCGAGTTAGTTAAGTGTACTGTGATTAAGTCTGCAATTTTTAAATAAGACTTTATTTGGTAGATATATATAGAAGACGCGGGAGAGAGGGGAGTACACGATATAATTGTATTCTCTAAGCAATTTATTTTTTTGGTACAATTTAGAAATAGACATAAATCAGATAATGATTATTGTATAATTATACCAAAATAAAACTGCATGCCAACTAAATTTGAACAGGAGAACATCGCTTTCCTGTATTAACTTTTCATGCTACTAACATATTATTAACCAAAGGCTTAATATTTAACTATACATTTATTATATATAGAGATAGCGAATTTATCATAAGAAGGCTATATTTCTGCTAATATATGTTTATAAATTTATCTTTCTCTACAGTTTATATAAGAATTTATGAAGTGTATCACTTAAAACTATTGTCTCTTCTCTCCTAAATTTTAAGAAGAAGCGTAAGTTAGATACTGTTATTGAGAATTATAAGACAGTAACAACCTTACAGTTCTTTACTGATAATTTGCTAATTCACTACTATAATATAGTATACTATAGTATACGTTCATTACAAATATAATAGATTAAATATGTATATATACGCATATAATAGAATAAATATGTATATATACACATACATGTATTTATTCTATTATACTTTTATAAATATACATATACATATATCACGATTGCGATATACTCATAGTTCAGTAAAATTATTATAAATGACAAACATAGCACGATACTCAAGTTACTTGAGTATTTTTTTCTGACAATAAAATAATTTCGATACAATGAATTTATTCTTCAATCAACGTACAACGTAAATATTGACGGCTAGATTCTATAATATGTTCAAGGAGCAATCAAGGGTTAAATCCTTCATTCAAACAATGCAAACAACTTCCATATTCTCGAATGCGCATACATATAGTATTTTCTAATATTAATGTTTTCAGCTAAAATGAAAATGTGTATGTATGTATAAATATACACAGAATAGATATCATTTTTTTACACAATTCAATTTCGTAATAAAACTTTTTTAAAACTCGTTTGTTATATGCATTCACTTGTCGAATGCTTGCCTATGAGATTGTTATAGCTCATCCATACTATTTACTTTTCTAATAACTATAAAAGTCTTCATATTCATTAATTCCTTTTAACAATAATTCGTCATCGATACGAGCCTTTAGATAGAAATAAATCATTTATAAATAATATCATTCAACAATATTCACCCGCGTTTCAGCTATATTACAATCGAAATTCGTAAATCAAGAAATTTTATGTAAAATTCGATTATATGTCAATTTTTGCCTGTATTTATTGAAATTCTTCAAATGTATTAAGATACATATATAAACTTGTATTTAATATATTTCATCTTATCCAATATATACGATATCAAAATGTTCACGACAAAAGTTATATCTGTTTTTGAAATATACCAATATAAATAATATACAGTTTATATTTTATTGATCTTAATTGCACATCACCTTCGATTTACTTTATTTAGAAATTTAATTAAGTAATATGCTCCAATACTTTCAATGGGGCAATGGGCTTAAAATTACTAAAAGATCAAGATTTCGATTGAAGTTGCATTTATTTTCGAGCACCTAAGTAAATATAAAATTGTTATATGTCTATATAATTCTGTATGTATCTATATCACTGTCATGTTACTGTCGCTATAATATTTATAATAAACTAACTTCTAATTACATATGAAATAGTAAATGTAGGCTTGAGTGTATACAGTAATATATATGGCACGTCAGTCTGTACGTTTAATTACTTAATCGTAATTATTAAATACTACTATATGTTATCCATGCGCGCGCGCGCGCATCAGTTGAATTTTATAAATCATTTTATTGTGTTTGGCATTGTTCACGGCTGATGGCTCTAGCACTACCGTATCATTTCCATATACTTCTGCTTATGTTTGCTTAACATTTCAGTCACCGTTACCAGCTGTTTAATTGTCGGCTGTAAGCAACAAATGTAATTTTTTAAGCATATGCATCCTCGTGCATATCTTCGTGATTATAGATTACAGACATACCTGTGTCTTCGACAGAACTTGGAGTTCCTTCAAATGTGAAACACAGATATGATGCAACGTCGCCAAGTCTCTCGCAGTGTCTGACACACTTTTGGTTCTTGGATCCGTAGCTTCCGATGGTTCTGGTTTTTCAGCAACATTCTGCACATACAACATTGTATAAATTAAATACAATTTTCATATTTATTATATCAATCACCTCCATTTACATTAAACGCATCGCATCAAGAATTGTCCACAAAATCATATGTGGAATATATATATATATATAGAATTAAAATAAATATAAAATAAACTTACAGACAGCTGGTCAAGGAACACTACCATTCGTTCTTTATTTTTAAGAATGAATGGATTTACAACTTCCATGTATGGTTCTTTTCCACCAAATTCGACCAAATTAGCCAAATTTTGTAGACATTTTGCCACCATGACTAATGATCTATAAATAATTTAAATAATTAGTATAGCATATGATAATATTTAAATAAAGATATTTAAAATGATATATAAATTATGATATACATTTGTGTGATTTTAATGCATATATTACTTAATTCATATATTACTTTTTTAAATTTATATTTGGTTTATGTATCGTTATACCTCGCAGCAGATGGAGGTGGTGGTTCAGCTATTAAATTAAACGATCTAGGATTCAATATGGCAGGGCAGAGGAGGCGTAGAAATATAAATCCGCTGACAACCCGAGTTCTGACTAGTCTTTCGTGTGGCCATTTAGCAACGACTGCTCGTTGTAAGCATCCGCAAATGTATCTGAGAGTTCTCGGACAAGCGTCGGGACTTGTGAAGATACTTAATGTAACTTCATCCAATACCTAAAACGAGAAAATATGAATTTTTTTTAATTTTGCTAATCGCATTAATTAACACATAATATTACTAAAGAAATTATATACTTGTAACAAAAATTCTGCATTATTGCACGCATCTTCTGGAGAATCCATTTTTGTTGGATTCAATTCACAACTCTGTTTACTTTCAATTAGTTTCACGATCGTATCACGCAAAGCGGCCTTTAAAAACGAAGTACAAACAGATTTCATATATAAATCCATTAAAGTGGTAGTAAGACTGGCAGCTCTAAATAGAGTTGGTGTTTCATCTTCTTTCTCAACCTAATAAAAATATATTTTATAATTATGATTTTATATATTTAATGATATTTTTTGGTGTATCAAACTATAACTCACTTCAGCTTGATTCAATGATCGTAGGAGATCCGACTCCTTTCTTTCATGCCTACAAAATCAACAATATCAAAATCAAGATCCATTTAGAATTAAATAATATTGTAGGATATAATTATTTGTACCTAAAGATTCTAAGAAGACTATTTGCCAAGGGTACTCTATCTAAATGGCATACGTCTGCTAATGCTTTAACAACATGTAATTCTGGATCTAATAATAATTGCTGAAGAGGGCTATATTCTTCAGGAGGCATAGCTAAATCGTGTCTGTAGCTGTAATACAGATATTTTTATTAATATACAAAAATTTTTACAATAAAATTTATATACAATATAATTGAAATATTCTTATATATACCATATCGCATTATCTCATCTGTGAGCAAATATTTTTAATCTTTACCGTATGCGTAAACGCAATGCGCCCCATTCTCCGATTGGTGTCACTCCTGATAATGGATACCATTCATCCATTTCTTCTCCATTAGTCAAACTTGCCAATTCAACAGTCAGATCAGCGACTTCCGTATCCTTGCTGCGCTTACCTTTGTTATACAGAGTGAGCGAGAAGGACATGACATCCGGTGGAACATCCCTGGTAAGCAAATTAATAAACGGTTAGTAAAGAGATTTTATACATTGAGAAGCTAGTTCATAGCTATATAAGATTCACATACGTACTCTAGAATGAATTCTTCATCCCAGAGTGGATGTAATCCTGTTTTAACCTTTGTGCGAGCAACTTTAACATTATTTAGAGCCACTATAATAAACGGATTCGGAACTAGCTTGTACGGAAGCCTATGTGCGTCTAAGATATGCAAATGCAATGAACGTAATTCACGGAGGCGGGCGACTTTCGGAGCACGGGTAAGTTGTGATACACATAATGGTTTCAAGGCATTAATCCAGTCTAATGCGTTCTCGGAATTCGGGGCAGCCAGATAAGTTATGGTGGCCAAACATGGTAAAGCACGTTCAACTAATTGGAAACAATGAGGCCTATCAAACACACTTTCGTGGACCTAAAAAGACACTTCGGTAACTTATCCCGCGTTCACTCTAAGCTATCATTTTCTTCATTTGCTGATAAGATGACATGGCCGATATGGCATATATATAAATCATGCATGTTATTACAATTATCATTTTGTTACCAAATTTTTATAAAAACCTTAGATTTTGGTGTTAATATGATAATATGACGTTCAATATTTCAGAATGTATTCCTTACCTGGTATAAATAAGCGCAGCTTAAATCAATGAGACCTTTTGGTTTGGTCCTCTTGGGATTGTCGTACAAATAGAGATGTGTGTCGGTAGCATCCACTAATAAGACGAAATATAATGCTTTCCACTTTTTATTTTTCTCAGATTTCTTTTCTAAATATCCCTGCATTTTAATCCCTTTGTTCTTCTTTGCTCCTGATTGCTCTCGACACTCCCTCAAAGTTGCATATATTTTCTCAGCATGTTGAACTTCTCTATTTACTCTGACGCTACCATCAGGTTCAGTTACCATTGCTTGAACCAAAGTATGCCCCTCTACAATTTGTTCCTTTCGGTATCTATGGTACAACAAAGTAAAATAAGAATATCAAAAGTATTATTTTTTGCAAAAAATTAAAATAGTAAAAATGTACCTATTAATTACAGCGTCAAGACATTCAAACGTTCTACCTCCCATAAGATAGCGTACTCCTTTTTTCTCGATTCTGAATCTCTGTATTTGGTTATTTATATGGAAAAAAAGTGAGTAATCTCCCGGACTGTTATCCGATGGTCTGACCTGTGGAATAAAAATATAAACATATTAAGAAAATCAAAGAATTAAGTAAGTGTATATAAATAAAAAAAAAATAGATTTAAAAAATAAAAATAAAGATATACATAATAATATGGTATCATTTAAAATAAATATGAGGAAATTGTTATTTTCTTACTAGGAAACTTCCAGGTCCTGCCTTCACCAACATGTCCACTGCTTCACTTTTAGTGACATTAGGATGAAACCAGGAAAACACTGTATTGGGATCTATGGAATCATCAAGGTCCTCTACTAATTCTCGAAATATTAAACCCTGTTCACCAGTTCTGTGGGCAGTGACCCACAACCATCCATCTCCCATGTCATTGTGCACAAAAAATATATCCCCTTTTTGAAAGCTCAGTTCGTCAGTATCTGGCATTTTAGTATATGGCAGTATCGCGACGATTCGTTTCTTATCATTTACTGGCTCCGGTGGTGGCGTTGGATGTATAAGTCTTTCTCTCTTTAAGAGATCCGAGCAATGAGTATAATACGCCACCAGATCCGAGAGACTGTTAAATTGACGACCGCCTACAATATTTATCAAATTAAGAGCTATATATTTAACAAAAAGTTTTCTTAAAATAATATAAAAAGTTTAATATGTTATTTAATCTGCATATTGTGAATAATCTTTTGCAAGTATGTCAATTGAAAGTTTTATCTCAAAATTTAACATTTTCAGGATAAATGTTACAAATATTAAATTTTTTTGCCGTAATGTAATGTTATATATTAAAATATCTTTTAAAATAACATATAATAATGCACATATATGAGATATTATAAAGATATTACATTACAAGTATATTTAGAAATTCTTAAAATTTCTATCTTTACCAATGTAATAGTCTCCACAGACAGCTGTAATTCGAAAATGATTTATTCCAGTCCTTCCTAAGTAAGATAAAACATAGCTTCCAGGTTTTCTGTCGCTTTCACGAACCAAGTAACTACCCATTTTACTCGCATCCCACAGTCTTTCCTCAGCTGTAAATCTATCTAATCGACCGTGATACCACCTGTAAAAGGTCACATGCTATTTTAATCTCAATTTTTTCTAATCGAGTATCAAGGCTTGTATGCCTTGCATTTACATCCAACCCTATCTCAAAGTATTATACATTTATGAAAAGTTAATAGAAATTATATTCAAGTCTCACTGATTTTCTGGCGGTGCCGTTAACAAAGTTGCATTCGCGCCGTCGGGTTCTTCTGCATCTTGTATGTCATCCGGTATATTTTCGAGAAAGGGATCAAATTCATTTTCTGCATTCAAGGATTCATTTTGACCACCATCCTCACTTCCTGTACTAGGAGATCCACCTTTGCTGCTATGCTCCATCTAAAAGAATAATGAAATGAAACTAACTGGACTTTTAATAATAAGCCATTATCTAAGCCATTATCTTAACCCATAAAAAAATTGATCAATTATAATTGATTATTTTTATCATTTTAATTGTAACTGATAAATTTCTTATGGCTCAAAACATGGCTATTGTAGAAAGCCTATCATTTACTTAACGTTTAATTTTTTTCACAGTACAGAAAATAATACAATCATACTTGTGATATTAACTTTTTTATTAATTAATTTTTGTTTTACTCAATAGGAATCCCTTTTGTTCAATAAATTTTTAATAATCGCTTAGATCAGGACTGAATAGCCTTGTTGATCAATACAATATTAATATTAATTAATTAATTCGAAGAAGTTCTCTCTTTGTTTTTAAGTATGTTTAAGAACAATCATATCCTTAACTTTTTCTTCTTTATCTTCTGTTTTAAATAGTCCTAGACGAAATAACCCATCAGGGTTTTTAAAATTTCAGAAATAGTTTCTTTTAATTGCAATTTCAAAACAAAATAGATATCAATATAGACATAATTTCATACAATACATTTTAGACTCCAACATGCATCACAAACGACTCTAGAGTTCATGCAAGATAAATTAAAATTTATTTTCAAAGAAGAATGGATTCCAAAGTTTCCAGATGCAGTCCCTCGATCAGTGTAATCGAAAAAGGGCATGTTTAAATAAAAAATGATGAATAAATTACCTCGATAGCGCGAAGAATAAAAAAATTAAAATAAAAAATAAAAGTAATCATCATCATGTTTTGTCACTCTCAGTAACTATCAAAGATCTGATTCATTCCGACTTTCGACATCGTTATCGAGCAGTATCGCTGTGAACATAAGTGTTATGTCTCAATATCATATTAGAAAAATGTTAGGAAAATCCAGAATGAAAGTATAGCATACATAAAATTGTTTTTCAAGCGCGTCGTGCGTCCCTAATCGAGGAGAGTCAGGCGATAACACTGGAGACGGGAGAGATAAAGCCCGGTATGCCCCTCGCAGAAATACAGCCGCACAAGAACGTAAACGGGAGCCAAGATATTAAATGAGATGAGTAAGAGAATCGCGCCGCGCCTTTCACCGTTCGTGATCTCTGTTCATCGGGAAAGGGATAATGTCGAGGTACGAATAACGAAGTAGCTATTCCGCTCGTATTGCTTGTAGTACACACGCATACATACCTTGGCATTGTTGGATACGCTGGGTCCGCCGCGCACGAACTCCGCCATCCCGTCGGCAACACTCTCGTGCACGCGACTACAAAGCACCCGGGCCGATCAGTCGAACGGCATGCGTCGTCCCCGCCGCGATGTTCCTCTGCGTCGCGATTGTATTTACAAATACAATTACGAAGGCAGACTCGCATCAGTATAAAATGTATTGACGTTTCCCGGCAGCCATTTTACTATCCGCACGCGCCGACCGTGACGCATGCGCGAGCATGACAAGTCGTCCCGATCAGTCCGGATGGCGGAAAGTGAAACGATAATGGCGCGATGGTAGTTCTTTAATGAACTTTCAGCAATATCCGAGAATATCGATAATATCGAGAATGATGTTATCGACGGAGTTAACTCTAATTTTACTTCGAAGTTACAAAAATTCAAGAATCATAAGTACATGTGCTTACGAATCAAAAATTGTAGAGAATAGATCTGTTCCTTTGGAAAGAAAAGGAAGAAAGATGAATCGGTGCAAAGTTCAGCAAAAAGAACAGGCCTATATTTTACAGTGATTTTTGGAATTTGGACAGTATTTAGTATTTGGACAGTGCGCAGTACATATTGAATGCGTGTTTAATAGACATCTATCGAGCTATATTTTTTGTACTGTTAATTGTGTACAGTAAGTAAAATATGTTTTATAATTCGAAATATTTGCATTTTACTATTACACTCAGATCAAATTAGTATACAACGATGATTTTAATACGCACTAAGTCCAATTAAATTCATATTTAGATATATAATATTTAGATATATAATAAAATTATATAAAAGTTTGCATTAGTATCTAAATAACATTAATATCTAAATAACAAATTGAAAAAAAAGAAATTAAAAAAAATTCTATATTTAGTAAATATTAATTAATCTTATATTTTTTTAGAATTTATATATCGGAAATTTACGGACGAATATTTTAATATTCTATTCCAAAAATATACATGATATAGAAGTGCGTAATATACATAAATTAAACATTCATGCATTCTAGATTAAAATTGTATTTTTGCTTATTCTTAGCTGTTATCTAATAATTAATAAATTATTCGCCTGGAAAAAAACCAGAAATGTACGTAAATTTTAACATCGATAGACTCATGATTATGTAAGTTCTTTCTTACGTGGTTAGATCAATGATAAACTCCTATCAGATTAACAAATATATAGAATTAATCTAAAATAAACCTGTTTTTAATCAAAGTTATATAACATTTATAATGTTTCTCTTTCTTTCTAAATAGATAACTTCTACAATATAAAAAAATAGATAAATTGAAAATATGGACAGATTAAAGGAATAATAAATCAGAGATATAGCTTAAATAAGTATTATAAAGAATTTTTATGCAATCATATTTGCATAAGAATATTTACGTCGAATTTATTTTATTTTTGCACATTCAACTTTGAACTGAGTGATACGAGTGCATTGATAGCAGCATTTACTTACCTTAACATCGTTTCATAAATTCATTCAAATTACTCTACGTGTGCAAGAGGTAATTTTTTCATCATTTTTCTATGTATCTTTCATTTAGACTAGTGATGTTCACCGCGAATTTTTTATAGTTGCCAATTCATGATCAAAAATATAACATTATATTTTCTACTTTATGCAAACAAAATAAACATTGTATAATCTGAAAAAGAATTTATCTATTTTTAAAAATAATGACAATGATCCCTAAAAAAGGTTGTGCATTATTGATTTTTTAAATTAAGAAATATAGTTTTGTTAAATATGAAGCTACAAAAAAATTCACAATAAAATTTATGATTGCAATGTTAATTACAAAATAGAGCTCAAATCTTCAAAAACTATTCTGCAATTATAAATTTTTTTTAAATGTATTGTTTCAGTAAAGAAGATTTTCATTATTCAACAAGACATACATTGTAACAGTAAGCAGCAGAAATGGCAGAAGTAGAACAGTTTACAGATATAAAACTTTCTGTACCTTGGGGTCATGTTGCTGCCAGAACTTATGGCTCTCCCACAGGAAAACCAGTCTTAGCAGTACATGGTCTTCTAGATAATGCAGGAACATTTACTAGATTGATGAAATATTTACCAAAAGATTTATTTTATTATGTATGCATAGATTTACCTGGCCATGGATGGTCATCACATTTTCCATCTTGGATGATGTTAGACATTATGGATTATGCACATGCATTATATTTTGTCTTAGAAGTGCTTCAATGGAAAACATTTATTTATCTAGGACACAGTTTGGGAGCACAAATAGGTGCAATATTCAGTATTTTTCACCCAAACAGAATCGAGAAGTTAATTTCTTTTGATGGGATTCTTATAAATTCTATAAATAACGAAATTACAACTTATTTTAAGAATGCATCTGCATTCTCAATAAAAGTTTGTCATGCAGAAAAATTGTTATCTTTTACTAGAAAAGAAATATTATATGCTCTTAAGACTTTTAGGTTTGGAGTTTTGAATTCTGAAGCTGCTGAGGAGTTGTTCGAGCGTGCAGTTACAGAAGTAAATGGAAAGTATATCTATAACAGAGATATACGATTAAAAAATCATTCTTTATCATTTATGCAGACAAAAGACTATCAGAAGTTTAACAACATGCTTTCAATTCCAATATATCTCTGTGTTTCATCTCACGGTATTATGTGTCCACGTAAAAAATTGATGCTAGTATTGGAAACAATAAGGGTTAAAACCATAATAGAAGTAATTCATATAGATGGAAATCATGACGTTCATAATAATAATCCTGAAAAAGTTGCACCATTTGTGTGTAAAATATTAAATAATGCATTATATTCTAGCAAACTGTAGATAATTGTGTGCATGCATACATGCATACACACAATGCATGCATATGTATCCAGTAGAAAAAGAAATTGTTAATAAACATAAACATAAAGAATATTATAAATATAATTTATAATATCTATATATAATTTATATATATCTATATCTATATCTATATATATATATATATAATATATAGATATATATTATAAATTATATTTATAATATCCTTTGTGTTTATGTTTATTAACAATTTCTTTATATATAAATATACGAGAGCAAATCAATAAGTACTCGTGTTTAAAGACGGGCGTTGCTGATACAAGTTGATATTATTATCATGTACTACTATCTTTCAAATGGCGCCATACAAAATTTCAAAGTGACTCATACGATAATTTTGATTTGAGCAATTCGTAGTGAGCGTATTTGATGTTTTTCGATACAATGAAAAAGCAATATCCATCCGTGATTCGCTTTTTATTTTTGGATTTTATTTTGAAAAAACGTGAAAAGAAATAAAAACGAAGTTGGATGTCATCTATGGGAATCCTTCACCATCTATAACAACCGTCAGATATTGGTTCAACGAATTTAAACGTGATCATTCATCTGTTTTTGATGACGAGCGCCCACGCCATCTGACAAACATGGTTACTGAGGAAATCATTGAAAAGGTCCATATGATTCTCGCTGATAGCCGAACGAAAGTGCATGACATAGCAGAGGCCGTAGGCACACGAAATGGCATTCAATATTTTACATGATAACTTGGGAATGAAAAAGTTGTCGGCCCGATGGATGTCATGATTGTTTATGGTGAACGACAAGCGAATGTGGCTATTGTAATATGTGGTCTATAATGGCCGTTAAACAGCTCAAAACTCACTACTTCGAAATTAATAGTGAAAGATCCTTTGATTTGAGAGTTCTTCCCAAAAGGACTTTCTTTGGAAGATAATAACCAACTTTCTTCTTTTTGTAAATAATTAAATGGATAAAGCAGTAGTATAGCAGTAGTATAGTAGTGGATGAGGCTGCAAGAGTAAGAAATTGATCACAATCGAATGTGAGAAGAATAATCGATTATGATTAGTCAATTTCTTACTCTTACCGTCTCATCCACTATTGCTACTGCTTGTTGTAGACCATATATAATGCATGGTCTAACAGTAAAGTAACAGTAGTTGATTAAGGAGTAGGCGTAGAAATCGACCAATTATAGTTGATTATTTTTCTCATATTCAATTATTCCACTACTGCTACTTGCTGCTACTGCTCATTGTAGATAACGCATAAGAAATGGAAATCACACTCCGCGCCACTGGTGCGCCATTACGTCACTTGCGCTATTCGACGCTACTTTTAAATTCGTGACTATCTCAATGCATTCGTTACTTCATAACGACGATTGTTTATAAAAAGAAAAACGCGCCGTTGACTTTTGTCTCAGATTAAAATGAAAAGATCATTGTATTGATTCGTCATATAATTAATTTATTGAATTAAAACCAGTTTATCCGAAAAAACCTTTGTTCATCTAATTATTTAAAAGAAGAAGAAAACTGGTGATTGCCCTCCGAAGAAAATCCTTCTGGGAAGAACTCTCAAATCAAAGGATCTTTCACTATCAATTTCGAAGCAGTGTTTAGAGCTGTTTAAATGCAATCCGCAGGAGTTTTGCGTCGAGTCATAACCGTTGATGAAACATGAAATGTTCATTCATCACTACCGGAGATCAAAGAACAGTCAACTTCATCTGGCGAATGTACTCCGAAGAAGGTCAAGACGCTACTATCGATCGGAAAGGTGATGGCCACTGTTTTTTAGAATGCACAAGACGTGATCTTCATCGACTATTTGAAGAAGGGAAAAACTATTATGGAAGTACTATGCTGATTTATTGAGCCAATTTGATGTTGAATTGAAGAAAACACGACCCCGTTTGGCGAAAAAAAAGTTCCACCACGATGCACCGGCTCTCCTTCGCTTCACAGCCAAATTAGTCGAATTACACTACGAATTGCTGCTGCATCCGGATTTGGCCCCCTGCGATTTCTTCCTGTTTTTAAATTTGAAAAAATGGCTCAGTGGAAAGAGATTCACGTCGAATGAGGAGGTCATCGCTGAAACAGAGGTCTATTTTGCAGAGTTCAACAAATTGTATAATTGTACAATTTTTTTTATTTTCCAACGTAACTCCATTTTATACTTTTCGAAAGAGTTAAAAAATGGCAGGAACGTTTGGAAAAAGTGTATCCTCCTAAAAGAGGATTACGTTGGAAAATAAAAAAAAATTTTGTGGAAAAACTTCACTTACTCTTCATTACTAACACGGATACTTATTGATTCGCCCTTGTATAAATATCTATATTTCTCGAATATACTTTACATTTCACAATGTATATTAATATATACTTGAATGTTTATTTTTTATTTATAACGTATATGTATAAGGATAGAAGGTATATCAGGTTGTAAAGTTGTCATTTTTAAAAAATAGTTACATGATGTATTACAGAAAACTATTGTATTGTAAAAATTGTATTTTCCATAAGAAATTGTACAAAATTGTAAAGTTTATTCTTGTAAATTTTTATAAATTTACTATTGTAATTTTCACTAAACCTTTCATTTGATGGACTTTAATTTTTACTTCCTTATCTCTCAAAATAATGTCTTTTAATTCATTCTCGAAAACGATTGCAGTATGATTCATAAAAGAATCCTTTTTTGTATCATGTACATGATGTGAACTGAGTTGAATCTTGTACCAACATATTAAGGCATTTGGTAAAATTTTTCCTTTATTTATTTCTCCAAAATTCACGATTGTTTCAGTAGTCTCTGTTTCATTTATTTCTATCAATGTTCGTGCCTCAGACATAATTTCACATGAATATAAACTCGAATTTAAATCAAATATTTGGTTGATCTATAGCAAAATAAACATGGAAATAAAAATCAACGTCTACACTCTAGAATTGAATTATACACATGGACTTACCTTATATTTATTAATGTATTCAGCGATTATGTAATTTGTACTTTTATTTACTTTATTGGCTATATTATCCCGCACATGTAGATCATCTTCGCTGTCTGAACTCTAAAAAGAAAAATATATTCATTTATTTTACTGTCATTTTAGACAAATAAGTTCTGCAAAATTTTATTTTTAATCATTCTTTTTCATAAAATATGTCTTTTATTTAAATATAAATTACATGATTAAATACTGTGTATCGTTGTACCATATCAGTAGAAGTGTTAAATGAAGACGATCTTTGGAGATTTATATTTTGTACATAAACCATATTTGGTAAATCTTCTGAGTATACTAACTGTCCCATAAGAAAAATCTTTTCTGGCAATAATACACCATTTGTTTTAAGCAAGTTCCTAAGATAATAGATGATAACAAATTTTAATATTTCATAATTATATAAAACATATGTAAATATTATATACAATATAATACCTGGAAATTTGATAACAACTATCTTGGTCATCTCTTAATTCACCTTTAATATCAAAATTGTAAACAAATATGGAATCTAGAGAATATGGAATTTCCTCATAACTTGATATCATATGTACTTTGTCTTGCACCTCGCTATCACGAGCTACTTGTTCAATTAGAACACGTAGCATTGGATTGTCAGTTTTATAATATAAAATTTCACTATCTTTACATTCCTTTAAAAGTGTCAACCCGTAAATTGGAAAAGGCGAAGTATCCAAAATATATTTCATTTTTCTATTCTTTTGAGATCTACCAATTTCTGTGAGCAATTTGACATAATTGAAATCATTTAGGAAGGCAATGACTTCTTTTGGCAAATGATACAAAGTTGTACAATTTTCACTATAACGTTCATTATTCGTACTATAAGAACATTTCAGTTTGCTCTTCAAAGTTTCCGCTTTTATCGTCAATACATCACCTTCATGACATACAGTTGGCACCGTTGGGAAAACAGCAAATTGCCAACAAGATTTCCCATCCGAAGAATCCAGTGTGATTTCCTCGTCAAGATGTAACTTGAACCAAGTGATTAAACCATCTATGATACCATCATATCTACATTTTGTTTGTAGCATCTGCTTTATTCCATCTTTACAGAATTCATACAATTCTAGTAGACTATTAAAATTCACATTAAAAAGCAACTGTGGCTCTGTAATGTAATTCATTTGAACTTTCTCCAAGTTTTCTGTATCATAATATTCGTCGTCTGATAGTATAGACACATTATTAAAATTTAAAGGACAGTTCTCTTTTATCTTGTCAAAAACCACTGACGATCTGTATCTAATATATTCACATTCAATAATTGCTGTGTAAACCGTCGCGCCCATAGGTATTACCATACCATTTAAATCTAAAATATTCATGTGTACGTTAATCATAGATGGTATTACAAGCTCTCCAAATAAGCCAGCATCAAATGTTTCAGTCACTATTAATTTTACTCTAGAATTATAGGTAATGGTTTTAATATTAATCAGTGCATAATATTGTAACAAATTAATTAATGCAAATAATTTTTAAAGGGTATATAAGTATATATACTGTATTATACACATGCATATACACACACAAACCTTTCTGAAATATCCATAGGTACTTTAAGATCGAACGACAGTTTTGAGATTAATTTTATGTCAGCTGCATTGTTAGATTCAAATACTTCTTTCGCAATCAGTGTCATTGCTTCAGAGCATTCACATGCATAAACTTTTTTGGCTCCAGCATCTTTTGCGTATAGACTCAAAAGACCTGTACCAGTCCCTACATCCAAAACTGTATCATACCCCTGATTGACTCTCTTACGTATGGCTCGTTCAAAAGCATTGTTTCTCTGCTTGTCATTGAGCATTGTGAAATGCCACCTATCCACTGCCATACTATATGCATTTTGCAAGTTTCGCTCTGCCGGTAGAAAGTTAACATCAACTTTCAAAGCTCTTTTTAAATATTCTATTGCCCTTATGGGATGGTTATTCCTTTAACAAGTATATGCAGCATTCTATGAGTCTTTTTTTTAGATCAGGAATAATAATGAAAAGAATTTATTGTAAAAGTAATTGAAAAATTAGTATATGCATTATATAGTGTATAGATTACCTCAACAAGTGTGCTGCAAAATTATTTAGCATACGAGGATTGTTTGGATAAATATTTAAGGAAAATTTGTAGGAGTTTACAATATCTGAAAATTTGTTATCATTTGCTAACTGCATTCCCCATTCACCTGAAAAGTAAATATTATTATATATTATTATATAAAAATATATGTTTCTCTGATATTTAGATATAAATACAGATTATACAAATGTCTTACACAGAACATCTGTAAACGTTTCTTCAATTTCTGATCTCCTTGCAGACAGTTTTGCAAAGATAATGTAATATGCAAAAGCTTTCCCAACATTTCCAATCCTGTCGTATTCTCTAGCTTTTTGCAGTGACTCCTCCAATATACTATTTACTTCTGCTTGCATTTTTGCATCGATTAAGTTTATTTTTATCTCATTCGCCTTGGTTTTATAATGACATTGACTTTGAAAAATTAGAAATTGATATTATCACGAGACAATGTGATTAAATTTAATTATCAATATTGTATACACATGCACGAGCAAACACGCATACGTCAAATATGAAATTAACCTAACCTAACATTTGTTTGCTCCGTCCATACCGACACTACCGACTGAAAAACAGTCAACTGTCTAAAAATACATCGCAATAAAAAAAAGAGATGGCGCTCAAATTTTTGTTTTGAATTATAAAAAAGACTTGTTTTTTTTAGCTAAACTTTTATACCAGTTCATCTTTCTTCCTTTTCTTTTTAGAAGGAAAGAAGAAGAAGAAAGATGAACTCCAAAAGTTCAGCCGAAAAAAACAGGCCTAAAAAAAAGAAATGTTTCTAAAAACGTTCAATACAGTGTTGAGCAATCGTTGCTGAATTTTGTCCAATTTTGGAATATGTTTGTCATAAAAAATCAAAAATGGTAAATTGAAAATTAAAATTTAATCAATTGAAACAAACAGCTAGTTTTCTGATTAGTTTTTTGATTAAAAAATTTAATTAAAATTTAATTTTTAATTCGCAAACTTCAATTTCCAATATGTAATTTGATACGAGTTTAATGTTCGCTAGTATCGCATTACTGCGTTCTCAATCTCATCAAAAAGAAGTATTATAACGGCTTCCGCTTGCATGTGTATATCATACATATATATATACATTTAATACACTCAACGGGAAACACATCTGCCACATCATATAGGCTATAGTGAAAGTCTCGCTACAAATGCTTTGAAGCATTTGATGGACCAATTAGAAGAAAGAATTTTACAAACTGACCAGTTAAAAAATATTTCAAAGCGTTTGCAGCATCGCGTTGACCATAATTGTGAACCATATATATATACATAAATATTGTATATAGACAATACAAAAAGATAAATATAATAGGCTAATGAGAGTCAGCAACGATAAACAGCGCAATTATTTAGTGAACAATCAATACTCAGATTGCAATATATTGGGTCATTTAAAAAGTATCCGCGGTTTTTTCATTCAAAAATTGAACAAAAAATCGCGGATACTTTTTAAATGACCTAATAAAATAAAGAAGACATCAATCCAATATCTGAGTATTGATTATTCACTAAATAATTGCATCGTTTATCGTTGCTGACTCTTATTAGTCTATTATATTTATCTTTTTGTATTGTTTAAAATTCGAGAATCCTAATATAATTATTGTTTTTTATAAATATATAGCCAACACAAAAATGTCAAATCATTAAATTGTCGTTGTACGAAAGAAGTAATATTATTACAAAAAGAATAATTTGACAATAAATTAATATTTAATCTGTAACATTTAATTCGTCCAAAAAATTTATATATATATAACAATTCTGGCATAAAATAAATTTATTCTTTTTTTACCTCCAATTTCTAATTTACTTTGCACATTACGATAATTATCTCTAGCTTTTCTTATAATTAAAAATGTCCAATTAGAAAATTACAAAGAAATTAATTAAATGATAAGAACATTGCGTGTCGTGAAACACGGATTTTAAAGGAGAGATTTATTGCTAGAAAGAGACCATCTAAATTTTTTGTTTTTGAAAAAGCAAATAAACTGTTCAAAAATATTGTAGAAAATCCATTATTAAAATTAATTATATTCGATATAACGATAATAAAATTCTTTCATTTTTCCTCTGAATTTTACCATTTTTTCATTTCGTGTAATTCACTAATTATTTCATCGTATCGTGACTGAAAGTCATAATATAATAAAGTCAATGTCAGCTGAAGATATATTAGATTTTTTAGCTACTTCTTCGTCGATTCTGGTCGAGTTATCCTAGTATAAAAGCAATATAACTGTATTTATATCATACAGCACGGTTATTACCGGCACGGAGCTCGAGAGTTCATTCGAGCTCATTCCAGCAAAAACTTAAAGAGGAATCAGATCATGAAATGTATATACGTTCGCATGACGCACTATCTAGATATCGAAACAACGAATTATCTAGCGCGAGGAATTGCGGAATTATGCGGTAAAGAATCGATTCGTCCGGCGAGACATCCGTTCGATCATCGTTCTTGCCTTCGTCCGATGCTTCGTGGGCGGGTCTCTGTCCTGCTAAAAAAAGAAATGATCAGAGAGAAATGATTCGGCTGGCTATGAAAAAGATACGGCCCATATATGGTGCAATTGAGACAACGTCCGTTATGTACATGTCCTGCCTAGTGACAGCGAAACAACTCCGTCGAAATTTTACAGAGAATTCGTTATTTTCAAAAATAGATCATGCGATTATGTTCTTTAAATTACGATCTTGAGATCCAGAAGGAGACGAGAGTTGATTTTTAATGAGGAATAATAATTCGAATGAGCGTCAACGGACTACATTATTCCGCGGTGGAGAAATTGCGATCGGGCGTGATGAGTGCTGCGGTCCAGCAGCTGGCCAATCATCGCGCTGCATGACGTCATCGCCGACCAATCAGCGCGCGCTGGAACGGTCGATTCCAGCGGGTATAAATTGCGCGTAGTAGGCGCCGCACGCCCAATAGTCGCTGGTCGCCGATCGTACGTCGTATAGTTGTTAGCAAAAGCTCCATTACTTGCTTTCGCCAACTATCGATCGCCCCGTGGTGGCTATATCCTGTTCTATTTTCTAAGAGGACAACGAACAATCCATAATACAAAATGGTAAGTCACTGAATTGTCGAATTTTTCCTTCTGCGAGCACGATCGCGGCTTTTGTCATGTCGGCGTCGCCCATTCTCGTCAAAGACGACGGCCATTTTGTAACGATTAAACGCCGGCCGGTCGTGGCGTTTGCTAAATTTAGATTGCGCCACCCCGCCTTAAAATTGCGAAGATTCCTATCGTGTACCCGTTTAATTCTTGCTATTGTTACTCTCTTCTACTCTAAGAGAAAATTGTCTCCGTTATAAATCCAAGTATTGAAGCATATTCTACGAGCAAAGCCATTGACTTCGATGAGTCATTTCAGAAAATCAATATGACGCTTTCCCTTATGTTCATCATTGGAAATTTCTAGCAAGAAACGAGTTGATACGAATTATTAGCTATATTTGATCCGTTCGCCAAGCGATCGGAGATATCCTTTTTGTGAAATATTTTACTCGATATAACGTACGTTACATGTCCTATATATCAAGTAAAAGTTTTTTTGTAATGTAGTCCAGATTTACATTAAAAGAATTAATCATCTTCAATTGCTCGATAAGCGAGCTAGCTGCACATTCTGTTATGTTTTAGTATTTTGCAAATATTAAAACTCTATAATACACGACATATATATTACAGTACTCACAATAAATATATTGTACATATAATGGAACATATTCTTTGAACATTCTCATTCTGTCTTTGATATTGAGTGAGAAGTTACATTCCATGATGGCGCTTTCAACGCTAATGCTATTTTTAGGCTATTTTTAGATCTACGAGTTTATTTGATGCTACAAATATTTCGATTTTGTAATCGGTTAATTAGTAAATTTTTTTCTTTCGATTAATCAACCAAACAAATACCTTTGAAGTATTTATAATGCCAAGTGGACTTCATTCTTTATCATTCATTAGATGTAAAACAATAAATACGGTCAAATCATATCTTTGAATGCATCCAGAGATAAAAGGCACTTAACATTTAGATACAAATCTACACAAATATTGTCTTTGTTACAATGTGTTTAGAGAGGTGATATTTGTATATGTCGTTCCATCTTTATCATTCATTATATTTGGAACAAATATAAAATAATAATATAAATAGCGTCTCTCTAATGCCATGGAATGTTAAGAAAGATAGAACGATGTTTGTGTCAACTTATCATCAAATGTAAAACATTCAATGACTCTTGTATCAATCTGTATCTCTTGCTAGGAAGCTCCAATATTAGTCATTTGTCACTGTTTTATAAAAGCCTCGGCATGATACGATGAGATGTGATATTAATGTTCTTTTAATTCATTTAGCGTGAGTGCATCTCAATCCACGTTGGACAAGCTGGTGTACAGATTGGTAATGCTTGCTGGGAGCTGTACTGCCTGGAACATGGCATTCAGCCGGACGGTCAGATGCCGTCTGACAAGACTATTGGAGGTGGAGACGACAGTTTCAACACCTTCTTCAGCGAGACTGGTGCCGGCAAGCATGTACCCAGAGCTGTCTTTATTGATTTGGAACCTACTGTAGTCGGTATGTATATTTAGTCTTTACTCTTTGACAGTGATACCTAACAAATTTTACTTACTTGAATGTTTCTATGTACAGATGAGGTTCGCACTGGAACTTACCGTCAGCTCTTCCATCCGGAACAACTGATCACTGGCAAGGAGGATGCTGCAAATAACTACGCTCGCGGTCATTACACGATTGGCAAGGAGATCGTTGATCTCGTGCTGGACCGCATTCGCAAGCTCGCAGACCAATGTACCGGCCTGCAAGGATTCCTTATCTTTCACTCATTCGGCGGTGGCACCGGTTCAGGTTTCACATCTCTGTTGATGGAGCGTTTGTCTGTTGACTATGGCAAGAAGTCGAAACTCGAATTCGCTATTTATCCCGCACCACAAGTTTCCACTGCCGTGGTCGAGCCGTACAACTCTATCTTGACAACGCACACTACTCTTGAGCATTCCGACTGCGCATTTATGGTTGATAATGAGGCGATCTACGACATTTGTCGTCGCAATTTGGATATCGAGAGACCAACTTACACGAATCTTAATCGCCTGATCGGCCAGATTGTATCGTCCATCACAGCCTCTCTGCGGTTCGATGGTGCCCTGAACGTCGATCTAACGGAATTCCAGACCAACTTGGTGCCCTATCCGAGAATCCACTTCCCGCTGGTGACGTACGCGCCCGTTATTTCGGCCGAGAAGGCTTATCATGAGCAACTCTCCGTTTCGGAGATCACAAACGCCTGCTTCGAACCAGCTAATCAGATGGTCAAGTGTGACCCGCGTCACGGCAAGTATATGGCCTGCTGTATGTTGTATCGTGGCGACGTCGTACCCAAGGATGTCAACGCGGCAATCGCTACCATCAAGACGAAGCGCACCATTCAATTTGTCGACTGGTGCCCCACCGGTTTCAAAGTCGGCATCAACTATCAGCCACCGACCGTCGTACCCGGTGGCGATCTCGCCAAAGTTCAGCGTGCCGTCTGCATGTTGTCGAACACCACTGCCATCGCGGAGGCCTGGGCCCGTTTAGATCACAAGTTCGATCTTATGTATGCCAAGCGTGCATTCGTGCACTGGTACGTTGGCGAGGGTATGGAGGAAGGAGAATTCTCTGAGGCACGTGAGGATCTCGCCGCACTCGAGAAAGATTATGAGGAGGTTGGAATGGATTCCGCAGAAGGCGAGGGCGAAGAGGGCGCCGAGGAGTATTAAAATGCAATCATTGCTCGCCCTTTTATCTCCTGATTTTAAAATATCTTATGTGTTTTGAAATAAAGTAACTGAATCCATTTGCCACGCAAATTTGTGTCTATTTGATACACTGCCCTTGTCTTAAATCACAGAACTTTTTCTTTTGTCGACCACACTAAAAATATTAAACTTGTTACTTGTTTATTATAATGTTACTTTTAGTACAGCGTTCAGATAAATTTGTTTACACAATGATTACATAATTATATCATCATCGTTACAAAACAAATTTTTATCTAACTTAAGTTTTCTAAAATAAGTTAAAAAAATTTTAAGACATTCATTACATGTTTGTTTATTCAAAATATGTGCGTTCTTATTTTTCGAAAATAAAGTATAACTTTTTATTAAAAAAAAAAATGGTAATAGTATTTAAAAAATTATAATACTATTGGAAAAATAATTTATATATTTTTTTACAATTTTATGATTAGACTCGTTACGTCCATATACAAATATTCACACGATCCTTTAAATTTAATTAACATTAACTACAATACATTTCGTAAAAAGCGAGAAATTTTATCAAATTATGTTTATCCATGATCAACTGTTTAAAAAAACATCAATGATTTATGTAAATTTGAAAAACTAATTTATAATTTAGCAACATTAATTCAATCATCGTATTCCAAGACAAAATCTTCATCATAATTAAATTCTTCGTCTGTATAATAATCCAGATATTCGGCGTGAAAATCAAAATCGTCATCATCGTCCAATTCGTCGGGTATCATACCGCGATATAACATGTTGAAACATTTGGAATCCGGATTTCGAAAATGTAAGTAAGGCGCCTCGGGATTCAACCGCGTGCCGCACAGCCAACAGAAATACGTGCCACAGTGTGAACAAGTCATCTTGTTACAGCCATCCGATTTCTGAAACAATTCGCCAACGGATATATTAATCACCCAATAACATAATAATAATAAGCATAAATCTTATATCTATGAAACAAATTCGATTTTGTACCTCGATTGCAGTTTTACAATGAGGACAGTTGTGACTATTATCATTAATCCAATTTTCAGACATTGTATTCTCTAACATCGTTTGAAACTGTCTCTTGCCGTAATGCTTTTCCATTTCGGCCTTCTTCTCGTTGCTGGCTGATTGATATTCATTCAATAATCGTTGTTTGTCAGCTATTAATAAAATCAACAGACGATATATATTAATATTAATATAAAATATAAATTCTAAAAAAAACTTTTGTTTGGAACTAAATGATATAAAAGCGAATAACGTGTTATATGGAGTGGAGTAAGCCATTTTTGCAAACTTAGCTTGAAGTCATTGATGCAATCTACTGAAGCAAATATGTTGAAAAAAATTTTTTGTTTCTCGAAAGCATAATTAAGTGATTTACACCATTATAGCTTTCACCTCTCCATATGTAGAATACAAACCCACAGGATTTAGACGCATACCCGAACTAATTTTGCAGGGTTCTACTCCATGATAAACCATCTTACAACGAATACAGAATGCATATTGACAAACAGGACATCTCGCCATGTTATCATCAGGATCGCGAGTGACTGGATACTGACAGTGTCGTCTTGGACAATAAACTATATCCATCATAGTATCTAACGTAGTACTTAACAATAAAGAATCGTACTTTGAAAATAACTCCGAACTTACCAACTCTTTTACCTGCAATAAAACCAATTATCACAATAAAATCAGTAGGATATTCAATATGAATGCAATACGAATATATAATATAAATACAATATAATTAACATAATATGGTATATGAAATAGTTACTTGGCTGGGTGTAGCCTCAAACTTGCACTTCTCTTCAGGACAACAAATATTCTGTACATTTCCATCTTTGATCTTTACTTCAAAATAACCTCTAATGCAATCTTTACAGAAAGTATGAGCACAAGGCAGAAACTGTGTGCAATGCTCCCCTGATTTGTCGGTGAAGCAAATATTACACGTGTAAAAATTCTTTTTGAATTCAATTTGTTTTCGTTTCTCGTTATAATCGATCAACATCTGAATAGGATTCCTACCGATCGGACAGTCTAAAATGGCTCTTTTGTCGATGACACTGGTTTTTTTAGACACTCCACTATCTCTGTTGACTTCGCTGTTAGATTGCTTGTTAGGCTCATTTACTTCCTTGTTTGTCTGCGAGCTTTGTAATTTTTCCACTGTTCTTTTGTAAGATGTGTACATGCAATCCATATCTATACGGTCCTTTATCTTTAAATAGCTAAGCGTTTTATCCTGGAGAAACTCTACCCAAATGAATAAGATCTCCTGCTTGCTGTTCTCCCATAATGTGTCAAGCTTTCTGCATAACTTAGACAATACTACTGGATACAACCAAGAAGAGCATAACATAAACGTAGGTGCTGATATGGATGGATAATTCTCCGGCAGTGTAACGTGCAATGTCAAGGGTGGTAAATATGATATCTGTACTTCCTGTGCCAAGTCCACTTCGTGTCTCAGATCTTTGTATGACAAATGACATTTTGTTGGCAGATTTATAAATATTTTAAAGGTACATTCAAACCGGCCGTTCTCCTCGTGATACGAGAATTCTTCTTCAGTGTAAATGCTTTCCAACGCGGTGACCTCGTCCTTTTGTTTCTCGTAGTCCATCGACTGAAAAACAGAACCAATTATCGAACTCTAAATCATGCGTACATTTTCTAATAATGAAAAAAAATCTCTTACTCAGCAAATCTGGAAATTCTGAGCGCTTTAAACGGGTTACGTTAGGCCTCACGATTAATCGTGATGCACTTTGCGATTTGGCTATCAAAAGCGGAGCATGTTGTGGGCGACCGTTTGAGAGGAGGAGGTTATGCGCTCGAGTCGAGTTCCGAAGATATTTCACGTTTGCTCCGAATAACTGCAAATTCGTCACGCGGCTTGCCCGAGGATCTTAAGGTGCCAAGTGAGACACAGGTAGAAATCTCGTACACTGTCTCGTGAATAACGCAACAATGCGTAACAAGACCACGATCACGATGAAAACTTGATGACACTGCGCGTAGTGCACTGCACAGCGCTCAACTACTTGACATGACTAATGTTTTTTTTTTTTTACGTTTTATGATGAAAGGTCAAAAAAATGAAAAAGTACATTATTCAGGAATAATACATCGTAATTATTATTTTTTAAATATAAATAATTTTTAACAATAATATTAAATAAAATATCATATGTCATTTAAACTCAGTATAAACATATGTTGTTTTATGAACAAAATCTAATAAACGAAGCAAGATTCTACCGAAGAATACCAATAAAAACAATTAAACGCGATAAAATAATAATAATTAAAAAAAGAAATGATATATAAATTCAGAGAGAAAGAAGTACAATTCTTTATTCATTTATATTAAATTTCATTTCGATATTTATTTTGATTATTTTTCCTCGATATTTTTCTTCAATATTTTTATTATTTTCGGCGACTTATCGATTTTCGAGACAGTCTCGTAGTGTCTATGGTAGCCAAAATGGACGTGTTCTTACCTCGATCCGAGTATTGCATCATCTTTAATTTTTCAAAGTTTTTCTACAAAGTTTAACATTTTATTTATATTATTCTATTTACTTTTTTATGCGGTTACATTGAAAGTTGGGATTTGGATGCTATATATCGAAAAAGACGGGACTAGCCTAAAGAAGATCTTCGAGACATATCGAGACAGATTATCGATACGCATACATATGGCGGCGCCCAGGAGATAAATGTTCAGTATGTGTTCAATCAGTACAGTGTTGATGCATTATGTTAATATGGCACTATTGGCATATCGTTGACACGTCGAAGTCGATACAAAGCCGACGTCAATTTTTCCATTTATCACGGCCGCTTATCGCCTTCGTGAGTCGTTGACTCGCAAGTGCTCAAAAACTAAGACCGGTGTCCGAACGTTCATTATTCAACGTTTCAACGATGAGTACCGAGGACGAAATGTTGAAGTCGTCAATCCCGATGTACGTCAACGCGGTGATGTCCGTGTGCGCGTTCAGTTTGACCGTACACCTGATTCCGAGGATAAAATCCATGTTTGTCCAAGCTAACCTCTACGGTGTCGACATGAGTAAGAGGTGCAGTGGAAAAATGTGAGTAAGGATGAACTCAATACCGTTTAATCTTTACTGAGCTGATTGACTCTACGATATACATTTGTTAATTTTAATATTAAAGCACATAATTATAATCCTTTCGGTTTTTATCTCGTGGAGTTGATCAATTTACCTTTCCAGAGGCTCATTTGAATATGAAACATTCATTGTTTTTATATATTTTTCTATCGATCATTCTGTATGTAAGCAATAGGCCTGTTCTTTAATAGGCTGAACTTTTGCACCAGTTCATTTTTCTTCCTTTTCTCTTTAAAAGGAAAGAAGAGGAAAGAAGATAAACTAGTGTAAAAGTTCAGTTAAAAAGAACAGGCCTATTGCTTGACACACAATCGACTATATTTTTACAGACCAGAGGCGATAGGTGTTGTCACTGGATGTGTATTTCTTATAACAATGTTCCTATTTATTCCTGTACCATTTACTGATTGTCTATTTAGGAATGTAAACTTTCCACATAATGAGGTACAGTACAGATATCAGTCAGAAAATGTAGCTAATTTCCTTCTTTTCTATTCTGATTATAGAAAATTAAACTAAAGCTGCTTTTCTTTTAGGAAATACAGTTGTTGACACAAATATTGTTTTATCTTTGTTATTCAGAATGCCAAGGAGGATAGAATGATGTTTGTATCGTTTCCTAAAAAGAAAGCAGCTTCCTAAGATTAATCAATAACTTAATAGGAAATATAACTTACATTTAATCTAAAAATATAAGATATAAAATATGATATTCTATATTATTCTCTAATTTTACATACGTAGATTTGTAAAGCATAAGCTTTCTATTACAGTTTGTTGATTTTCTGGCTGCATTATTGTCCATATGTTGCATGCTACTCTTGGGCTTTGCTGATGATGTTTTGAATCTTCGTTGGCGGCATAAATTACTTCTGCCAACTATAGCATCTTTGCCATTACTGATGGTTTATTATGTCAACTTTAACTCCACGATAATCATCGTACCAAAACCGTTAAGATCGTGGTTTGGTTTCTCGTTGGATTTATGGATTTTTTACTATGTATATATGGGAATGTTAGCAGTGTTTTGTACAAACGCTATAAATATATTAGCCGGGATAAACGGTTTAGAGGTTGGGCAAAGTTTAATTATCGCCACAAGTATTCTCATCTTTAACATTATCGAATTATTTGGCAGTCAATGGAAAGCGCATCAATTTTCAATATATTTTATGCTGCCTTATATAGCAACTTCTCTCGCATTATTCAAATTTAATTGGTAAGTTAAACTAAAGTGTTTTTATTTTAAAATATTACTAATAATAATAATTATATTATGATAATATGACATAAAAAAAGGAATATTTGGATAAGAGGAGTTTCAAATTGTCAGGCATATAAGTTGTATGTATAAACCATTTAACATTTATATTTTGTCAACGTAATATTTTAGTGTATAAATTTAGTATAATATTACATTAGTGTACATTGAGTATTGAGTATGAGTTAATATCACAGTCGGGTGCGACCAATACGTCAGTAGTAATCTAGTTTAGCGTAAAAATTCTCTACCAACCAGTCGTACTTCCACGTGTTATTGAGAATCGTTTCTGGCGCGAAGTAGGAATCCCTAGACTTGGAGACTCTCAGAAGATTGGTTTTACCGTCTAACCACAGTCCGCTACCTATTAGGTCCTCCACAAACGGCACGTCGATAGTCTTCTCGATATAAATCTCCTTAGACTGAACTTTATTGCGAAGACCGATAATAATATTTGCGGGCGCCTGGCACAAATTACAGTACCACCCACCGTAATGATTCAAATCTCCTATGACTAATCCCAAAATATCTCTCTCGCTGGTGTCTCCGTCCAACTGTTGTCGCAATACAAGCGAGTTGGATTGATAGGCATTGCGCATCAAACCGACAGTATATGCGCCGAGTGTGATCGTTGTCTTGAGCGGATGCTGCCAAAAGAAGCCGTATATTGACCATCTTAATCTAAATCCGATAGGCTGAGGCCAACCGTCGTAAACTTTGAGGAACATTAATGCCCTGGAGTTCAGTATCTGCTCCGGCTCCGTTGTCACATAGATGTCGTCGTCCTTTAGATTCTGCACCACAGTCTTGATTTTATCCCAAACGTATCTCGATACTGTCCGGGATGGTTTGTGGGACTTGGTCGCCACATTGATGTACAGAATCTTTTTTTGCTCTCGCTGTAACAGTCCTTTGGACAGTTTGTGCCGGAAATTATCCTCCGCGTTATTGAAATCACAAATTACAAAAAGATCCACTACGTTGTAGAGTTCCTCCACTATCACCTCAGCGATCGCCGAGTTGTAGTCGCTTATAAAAAAGGTGTGAATAATGTGCCTGGCAATTTTGCGATGTTTCAGGCTAACGTTCTGCTTCGACGCCATGATTGCCCTCCACACGACTTCTGGTTGTCCGCAATCCAAGCCATGCCATCCTTGATTGCAGATACATCTTTCCAAATGCTCATTGCTTTTCGTTTTACGCTGGTCCATTCCATGTTTCCAGCATATGGTATGATTGTATACTTCAAACAGCCTAAACGTCTTGACATCTTTCAACGCTACCTCCCCATTGATTGTCTGGTAGATTGATGACTTTTTACGATTGCCCTGATTTACGTGCAGTTCCTTCAATTAAAAAAAAAATTAGTTCTAAAGTATTTCGAATAAATACGTCGGTTTACATGATCAATCACAAATTCGCAGCACCTGCGATGCCTCAAACTTGACGAAACTGACGGATGCACGAGTCGTAGATGCAGCTAATTCGGGCGGCGGAGTTGTGGCGACATAGATCATAACAATCAGAACTTGCAAGACTAATAGAGTATACAGCAACGCCAGCTTCCCATCTAGACGGACCTGCATGGCACTGATCCCTGCGCTCAGATAGTTCAATTTCTCATCTTACGTTCCCGAAGAGAAATCTTGCTAGCTGTCTGAGACATCTTCGTTGAAATTACAGTCTCATGAATATCATCTGAAAACATAATCAGTAACTTAAATTTATATTTTTATCAATTTTCGATTTTTTTTTGTTAAAGAGATCAATATTCTACACCGTGCATTTCTACTTAAAACCCACTCTAGACGATCTACAACTCGTTTTAGAATACAGGATGGAATTCTATTTATAAATTACATACGTATATACTATATATATTACAATATATACGTATATATATCAAAGAAGAAATTTATCCTGAAACTCGCGGATTACAGATCGTCTCGAGTTGAACGCGATTCGTTGACCTCATTTCTCGATATGACGTTTCTTAAATTTCCTGTGTATATATCTCCCTGATTTATCATTCATACGATATTCTTTTCAGTCATGCTAAAAACTAAGTGGCATCATCGCCGACAGCCGATCCGCTGCATTGCAGGAAACATATACCGTCCGCCAATTGGATTCCGCGCGAGTTAAACGTCCCGGCAGCCTCCGCCCCGCACGCATGTCATTGCCCACAACTATATTACATAATAAAGCGTCTCTCACAATGCGATTCGACGACGACGACGCCTTCGATGATGATCTCACCAGATGACGGTATGGTGACGTCACCGCGGCGCAACGTGCCATTTAATTCGCTATGCCTGTTGATCGCCGGATAAGCCGGTTTCGTCGGCAATTACACGATCGACGATTATAAGATGATTGGCGACCGGCGACGCACTACACCGTGCATACTTCTAGTCTCGTCGATAGTCGTTGCTTGACTCAGACTGACTAGCTGCAACGGGGGGGAATAGGGGAGAAGGACATCCCCCCGAGATCCAGGTGCACCTTCTGTCTCCCTCCCCCCGGCCGGGTAACGGCGCGTACCGCGACGACGTGAAAAACCACGCCCGAGCGCCGCAGCAGCCGACGATTCCGCCCGTCGTACTCGTCGACGAACACACTCTCGCCGATCGTGACTATTCGCAGAGCGCACGCGTCTTACGCCGGCGTCAAATTGTATCTATGTGTCACCCCTTCGTCCCGCATTGCAATGCATGAGCAATCCGTCCTGCGAACGAGGCGGATCCGCCCATAAGTCAGAAACTGGATCATTAATTCTAGAATTAGCCAAGTTCGAGGAAAAGGAGCGGCTCTCTCTTCGCAGTTAGAAACGATTCCCGAGCTCCACGTTTATAGTCATCATAGTAGCCCTGACAGTTATAGAGCAATGGCGCTCGATAATTTCACTTTGGTAATTTCCTATTGGAGCAATGCCTCGCATGTGTTTCGCACATGCTTGTGATTTCCTATATTTATACGAAAAAGAATATGTCTGCATAATAAATAAGATAAAACGCGCAAAAAAAAGATATAAAACATAATTTGTGAGAGAAAATAGCGCTTAAATGGCGCAACGATCTGTAATGTGTTCGCGTAAATATATATAATGATAAAATATGTACATATTTAATTTATAATATGTATGAATTTATATAATTTATTAAATGTTACGTTGGAGTAAAGGAATAATGATGCTTTGTTCAAGGTATCCATCGCAAGTTTTCGTAGGCGACACGTTTTGTTATCTGTCGGGAATGACTTTCGCCGTCGTCGGTATCATAGGCCGCTTCAGCAAGACGACTTTATTGTTTTTCATTCCGCAAATAATCAATTTTCTATATAGCATACCGCAGCTATTCCATCTTGTATCGTGTCCTAGGCATAGATTACCAAAGTGAGTTTCAGAAATAAAAAATAATTATGTTAGAAAATCTCATCGAAAGATCTACTCATAACATGATTTTATTCGCAGATACAATGAAAAGATGGACAAATTGGAGCCTAGTAGAACTGTGTTCTACAAATCAGACCTTGGCACACTTGGTATGATAGCATAGTTTATCTTTTATAAAGAAAAAAATTGTACATATTGTTTAGAATTATATTTTATCTTATTAGGGAAGCTATCAATGTGGATATTTCGAAAATGTAAATTAATAAAATGGGAAGAAGATTCGGAAGGCTTTGTGACTTGCAATAATCTAACTTTGATTAATTTTATATTGATCAAGACTGGTCCATTGAGAGAACCAAAACTTACGTCCATTTTACTGATAATTCAGGTAATTTAAAAAAATATATATTTAATAATTTAAAGTATATAACATTAATATTTTTCAGATTATTAGTAGTTTGTTGGCATTTGTTATAAGATATCCTTTGGCTTCCATATTTTACGATGTTTAAATAAATACAAGAATGTTGAAATATATTAAAGTTGTATTAAAGTCTTAAATTTATTATTATTAGCGTGTGATCATAATTCCTCTATTTCTTTCATAAAATACCAAAATTGCATTAGAAATTTTAAATCATCATTTTTTTATGATTTTAAATTATAAATATAAATATTTATTTTATTAATATATTATTTTTTGTATACAAGATGAAGTAAGGAATAATAATAGAATAGCTTCTGTATAAGTTTCTATTATATAAACTTTGTACACAACTTGATTAAAAACAATTGCATAAAAAGATAATTTTTATCAAATTCCAATAATAGGGTATTCATAAAGTATTGTAAGTAAAAATAATATTGATAAATATTTCATTCGTTAAAAATTATAAGATTTGTAGATATCGTAAAATTATTTAAATGATACACAACAAATTTTAATATTTGCATAAGCACATGATCTTACAAAGTAAAACTTGAGCAATTCTAAATAGTTACAAACTTCATTTGCTAACAAATACTTTAAAGCTTTGATAATCTACAATAACTGGTGCATTACATTACTAACTTTTTTTTTATTATAGATCAAATGCTAATAGATCCAATATATCAAAGTTAATTCTTTAAGTGTTGTATAAACTTAAATTATATTGAAACTGTTTTAATATAAAATAATACAATATGATAAAAAAATTGCATATTACAGTTTTTGGGATACCCTGTACGTATATCGTGTTTAAGATTGATGTGCTAACATAAAATTTTAATTTTTTAATAACAGTGATTTTTTTATTTTTCATTTTCTTCATAATTTAAAACATGGAATTCGGAACAAATCGAGACGACGAACGAATGACGTCCATACCTAATCGATTCTTTATATTAAGTTGTGCTTTTGCAGCATCTCTCAAGCTGTATATGTGTGTCAATTCCATGAATGTACGACATAATACTAAAGCCTTGTCAAATAATCTTATTGCTTCCTCTATATTTCCTCTGAAAGAAAACATGAATTTAGAATATTTTCAAATGTCTTTAGTTTCTTTAAATAATATATTGTGTAAATCACATGTGTGATTATAGTTAGTTCATTTTGAAAATTTCAATATATAATAATTATTAGAAACCATACATACCTTTGTACTTCAATACTTCCTAATGATTCATATGCAAGCTCGCATTTCTCATCCAATTCTAACGCTTTGTGTATGTATTCCACAGTTTTATCAACATTACCATTCCATTGTAATTGCAGTAAGCCTCTGTGCACATAAACAGTTGCATTATCCGGGTCTTGCTCTAATGCTTTAGCATAATAAGTATCAGCCTTTTCAAACTGTTGAGTTTCGGACATCATCTACGATAATTGAAAATTCCATCAATGAACCAAAATGTGTACAACACAATGATAACAATTTATAATTCACTTTTCTTTAATTCCAATTGTTTTTCTTAAGAAATATTATAAATAGTTGTACATACCTGAGCATACGATATATAACAATATATACATTCAGGAGGATTTGGATACTTTTCCAAAGCTCTTTCAAAATCTTTCACAGCCACTTCGGCTAATCCTATATCTCTATTGAACACTGCAAAACGATAATCCGTGTAACATTTTTGCGCGTATGCTATGCCGAAATTTGGATTGTATTCAACAGCCTTTTCAAAATCGCGTTTAGCTTCATCTATTCTGCCCATGAGCAAATTTACCTGAAATGACAAAAAATAGTATTGTTATGTTATTTTATAATTCTGATTTTGCATTAGTCGCAAGTCGATCGCAAGCTTGTTAATTTAAAAATTAACATTTCAGATTGGCTGTCGCAATAAATTGCAATCAATGTATAGACCCAGGGTAATATATATATATATATAAAAGAAAAATATGCTGAATTACAATATGTGTAATACCTGTCCTCTATGATGATAGATATCACTGTAACTTGGATTCATACTAATAGCTAATTCAAAGTCCTTGAAAGTCATATCTGGATTATCCAGTTGCATGTATAAGGCCGCTCTTTTTATCAGGGCATTTATCCTCACATCATCAGATGCATCTTTGCTGTTCAATATATTTTCAAAATCTTTGATTGTAGCATCGTGCTCACCCAAAAGTAAATAAAATGTAGCTCGTAATAGTAACACCTCTAATCTAGATGAGGATAACATATCAAATTCGGGATTTTTAATGATTTCCGTGCATAGCGGTATTATATCGTCGTACTCCATATTTTTTACCGCTTGCAATGGTTTCTTGAGAAATCTGATAACAAGTATTACATTTTTTAAAAAGTTAACACCATAATTCAGAAATAGTCTTCTACTTATACTTACTCTGGAATATTTTCTGGATGTTCAAGTCTAGAAAATACTGGATCCTTGGGAAAAGATATAATGTATGTTTTGATAAAATGCTTACTTGGCATTACAAATTTTTTGTTTGCCAAATTTTCCTGGGCATGTTGTCTCCCTGAAAATAATTTTCAGTGTCTAAACTTCTCTGTTCCTATTTCTAATTCTACAAAAGTTGTAGCAGCATTTTATTTAATACCAAGTAACTTTTTTAATGTATGTGACTCACCGAGCTTTTCCAAAACCTTATCTGCCGTTGAAAGGGAAGTTTGATTAGAAAATCCTTCATAAATACACGCGGTAGTCACATCCTCCAAAGCAGCTTCCAAGTCCCCTGTTTGCTCCAAAGCACGTGCCCGACGTAACAAAGCTTTGGCATATTTTGGATTTAGTTCTAAAGCTTTTGTACAGTCTGCCTTTACAGCACTATATTTTTTCTATAAATTATAATTACCATTGTGTAAACAGTGAAATTTATATAAATTTTAACAATGAATTGAAGTAAAATTTTCACATCATGTTTATTATTATATTACTATTAATTTTATTACCAATTGCTCATAAGCAGCTGCTCTATTTTGATAAAAAGTTGCGAGGTCCTCTATGTTTTCTATTGGACAAATGTCGATTGCTTTATTATACCGAGCAATAGCTTCATCATATTTTCCAGTTTTGAACTCTACATTTCCTGCATTCTTATACTTCTGTGCCTTTTGTAAAAGAGTCTAAAACAAAAGAATTTATTTGGGTCAGTCACGAAAGTATTTTCTTCTTTTTTATGTTAATTAAAAAAATATATAATGCCATTATAGATACTATGTTTATATTAAAGTTCTGACAAATGGATAAATATATTGGAAGTCTCGATTGATCAAGAAAATCCATTTATCATGTACAAACTATATATTACATTACAATCTCATTGCCATAAGGTTCAATAAAGCTTGCAGACAATACTGTTTACTGAAAATTATCACTCATGATAATATGTCATTTTGACATATTGATGATATAATTCTAGCTGTTAACGATACATGGATAGTATATAAATTTATTCTGTTTCTTAGGAACTAAGAAGCAGAACCAACAATGATGTTGATAAGCGTAAGATATCCTCTTTTTTTAAATTTCGGATAAATGGATTTTCGCAATCTTTCGGACACTTCTAGATAAAGCAGGCGGTTTTAACCTCCGATTCAGCCGCGGGAGAAGGCACTTTGAGTGGATAATCGCCGTCGATAGAGATCTGCTTGTCGGCGGGCGCGCCGTTTTCCTTGGCTGCGCCGCTCCTGAACTTGTCACGTTCCGGTTTGTCAACGTTATTGCTATTCCTGTTCCTGTAGTACATGTAGCCAAGGCCGAGGGCAACCGGTGCTCCGACCACCAAGGCGAGCTGCCATTTCGGCAATGGGCTGCTGCCTGCCACGCCGCTCGAGGCGGTCATTTCTTCGATCAGAAATCTATTAGCCGCACACAAACCGTCACGACGTGACACCCGGCTGACCCGGCGCTACCGGGCACTACCGAGATCGCGATGAGGAGACTAGATCGTGAATCTCTCACCGACGTAAGAGACCGCGAACTGCGAGAATACGAAGGAACACGTGGTCCAAGCAACGATCATGCGGATGCCACTTCTCACTATCCCTCGAACTCGATCACGTTTACGTTGCAGACGTTGGAATGATCTTCTCGATCGTCCTCACTTATCCTCCTTAGTCCGCTCGATCCTCCTCAATCGGCTCGATCTTTCTCGGCACCAAGTGCACCGACGATTATCGCGATACACGGCGGTCGCCTGAACTTGAATGATTCCTTACAATAGCGCCCCCTTAGTGAAAGAATCAACTTTAAAGAATAGCGACTTCGACTTTGATTAGCTCACACTGCATATTAATTTATCGAGGAAATATTATTTTGTTACATTTTGTGGAAGACAGATTTTTTTACATATCATGAATAGAATAATTAATCTTACTCAATACATGGAAAGAAAACATCGCAATTAGAGATGACAGATTATATTACATAATAACATTAAAATACAAAAACAAATATTAAGTAAATAATAAAGCAAAATAAAATAAATACGTAAATAATAATACTAAAATCCTTTTTTAAATCCTTTTTAAGATACGCGCCGCGTTTTCCACGCATGCGCGGGACCACGCGGAAAGATGGCGGCAGTCTGTCAACAGCAGCTACGTTCCTACGATTTCTACGTTTTATCAGCTGTCATGCCGTCGGAATCAAAGCTCGCGCGACATGAAAGCCCTTGCTCTCGTCCGAACTAAATTCTCGAGGAATGTTGAGCGACTGAAGGCGTACTCGTAAACCGTTTTAACGGACGTCGGATCACTCGGATCTCGGTTTGCTCGCGTTCGTCTCGGGACGTCGCTGTCTAATTCGAACAACGTTGCGATGGCCCTACAGGAGGACGAGAACACCTGGTAAGCCGTGATCGTGGTTTCTCTGTCTTGTCAAAGAATAACGTGTCTCATTGAAAGCGAGAACACCGAATTTTGCAATCGCCGCGATAACGTGTCAAATTTTTTTCGACCAGTGACACGTTTTACAATGTAAAGGTCGTAAAACGGAGAACTACATTGTTGCATGCATATAGCTTGCGACGAAGCGCAGTAGAAAATTTTTTATTAGCGGAACTACGCGACTTACGTAATATCATTTCGCTAATTAACATATTTTGCTAATTAACATGCTAATTAATATAATACATTTGTATAGATTGTAGATGGAAATTTTTTAATAGATATAGTCAAGTTTGCTTGTAGTCTCAATTTATGTAGTTTTAAATGCGAATAACAGTTTTTGTCATTTTTATTAATTCCAAATTAATTGTTATTTTAGGGTATTGGAACTGGAAGCGGCATTGTTGGATACAGAAGCACCATCTGCTTCTGATATATATGCCATTTGTAAAGGCCAACCGGTTCCTACAAATTTAAGACCAGATGTCTGGTTGGCTTGCCTTTATGTTACTGATCGAGGTGATCAATTTAGCCAGTTTAATGAAGTTTATGATTTACCAGAGCAAAATATAATTCGTGATGACTGTCAACAGTTGGTCGGTGAGTAAGTGAAAAACTACATATGTAGTCTCATTTATATTTACTAACAACTGCTGTTAAACATTACAGCAAAACTTGGGAATGATGATGAAGATAAAGTTTCTGTAGTTTCGGATCTTGAATCTATACTAACGTTTTATTGTAAAAGTAAATGTAAACAATATGAAAAAGGAAATGGATGGCTAGAATTATTAGGTCCTTTAATAGCTTTAAAATTACCACGTGCTGCAACTTATAATCTCTTTGAAGCAATAAGAGATATCTATATTCCAAGGTAAAAGATAATTACTGTTATCTTTTTGTTACTTAAATAAATATTTTTTATTGATGTTAATGTAAAATTAATTATTTATAATTAGGTAAAGATGGAGTTTCAATAGCATTCTCTACTAATTTTATAATAATATGTATTTTGCAAATTTTATAATAATATGTTTACTATTCTTTTTAGAGGTGAAACATATAGCTCAGTCTTGAGGTTATTGCTTCTCTATCATGAACCAGAACTGTGCTCCTTCTTGGACACAAAAAGGATATCACCTGATCAATATACGAAAGTATGGATGAATACCCTTTTCGCCGGTGTCTGTTCATTACCAGCTGTCTGTACAATGTGGGATCTGTACTTTATGCAAGCTGATCCATTTTTCATGCTGTTTCTCTCACTAATTATGGTTATAAATGCTAGGTAAATATATTGATTAAATTAATTAAATTATTGATTAAATTAATTTAGATATCGTATATTTGTTATTACATTGTTTAAAGTAATTCTCATCTTTATAGAGAGCAAATTTTGAACATGAAGGACGAAGACAAGCAAAGTATAATAGATGCAATAGCAATAATGCCCTGTGCTTTGGAAGCAGAGGATGTAACCGATTTCTGTTCGTTGGCACAGTATTACGCAATGAAAACACCAACATCTTTTAAACAAGACTTGTATCCCATAATGTTTGGTGAAAGTTCTGAAGAAAAGCTAATCTCTCACGCACTATGTTTACCCGTATCAGCACAAGAATTAGTAGAGAATGCTATCGAAACTCCATCTTTACCTAATAGCACTGTTGAAACTGTTAGATTTTTTCTCGTGGATTGTAGACCTGCCGAACAATACAACGCAGGCCACTTACCAACGGCATTTCATCTCGATTGCAACTTGGTAAGTTATCAATAAAATAAAAGTAAAAAATGTTTTAAATATATATTAAGTTTACGTAGCTTAAAATTTATTAAAATTGTGATTTTTATATATTGCTTTATATATAAATTTTAATAGAAAAGAAAGATCAAACATATATTTCTATCTTTTTAGATGCTGCAAGAACCTGCCGCGTTTGCTACAGCGGTACAAGGCTTACTACAAGCTCAGCGTCAAGCATTAGCTGTTGGTTCACAAGCTGGTGGAGAACATCTTTGCTTTCTAGGAAGCGGTAGACAAGAGGAAGATCGCTACACGCATATGGTAGTAGCATCCTTTTTACAAAAACATACACATTACGTGAGCATGGTTACTTCTGGATATCAAGGTATTTATTTTCTATTTTTTAGTATAATTTGACGAAGATAAATTATATTCTTTTCATATAATTATGATTTTGTTTTCAGCCATTCATGAATACTTCGGCGATGAAGTGGTGTCAAGTCTTGTTGATCATAATTCACAATATTGTTTAGTATGTAATGCTAATATGTTAGAAGAAAATTCGAACGAAGCAAGCCCTGTTAAAGTTAAAAACAATAATTCTGATCTTTTGGGCAAGATCGGATTAGCCATGAAGTTAAAGAGTCAAGAAGTAAAAGGAAAGTTATTTGATTATATTGTTAATCCTACAGCAAATGTTAATAGTAATACAGAAAAGAGAGATAGTAAAGACTTGGACTATATTAGACGTCAAAGAAAGACCGCACCTGTGTTTAGTATAGATGATGATCAAGAGATAGGTAATTGGATTCTCCTAATTATCCTTATGTAATCGTTAACTGTTTTATTAAAGATACTAATCTAATCTTTTCTAGATATGACAATGACTAACAATGAAAGTGAAGAGCCTATCGAAGTAGTATCAATACAACAATGGATGAAAGATCCCAAGTTATTACATTCCTTTAAATGCCAAGAAGTGAAAGTTAATGGCGATCTCTGTGATAGGTGAGTTTACAAGAAAAAAGGATTTTCTTTTGTATATGTAAAGTCATTCATGTGTGTATATTGTTTTCTCTTTTAGTCAACTATTGGTTACCGATAGTCATCTTATAGTACTGCGAGAAATCCCGGAACGAAAGGGCGCCGCGCACGTAATTGTGAAACGTCCCTTAACGAGTATCGTCAAAATAACGTCGAGAAAGCGGCACGCCGATTTAATAACTTTTAAATATGGTACGACGCAATATAACGACACAGTTATTTCTGATATGGATAAGTTTCTTATACCTAACGCGAGTGAAGCGACTAAATTGATCACGCAACAGATCATGAGACAATTAAATACGTCAGACTAATATTATGGACACATGGGTATTTTATAGAATAATTTCAAGCTAATGTACAGATGTTATCAAGTTCAATTTGTGACAAACAGTTTTCTTAAAACATTTTATCTTATAAACAAATTATTATTTATTGAAATAATTATTTACTTTTTGTATATGAAATATAGTCATTTAAATCAGAGTTTTTCAATATATCATATTTTTTAAGTGATAATTTAAAAAAAAATAAAAGCGAAAAATTTATAGATATTCAATTTTAGAAATAAATTTATAGATATCCAAATTTAGAAATAAATGAAACAATGAATAGAGTGAAAAGTAAAAACCATGTTAGCAATATCTGATAAAAGACCTATGCTAAGCATTAAAACGTATGCGCGTAATGATACATCTTGAGAAATTATTTAATATGCCGTAAATTGAAAAAGGTTGAAAAACGCTGATTTAAATAAATATAGAAATATATATACTAGATATGTGTACAATAAAATTAACAAAAACGTATAAATTTGAAAATTGAGTAAAAATATTTCTGATGTTAATTTCTCTTATCTCAATCAATTGAATCTCAATTGTGTTGAGAATAACATAAATTTATGTCCATATAACTTATATTAAGTCAACCGGATGACGTTTCATCATTTAGATACACAACTTTTTTAAATATCACGACGGTATGACTGACCTAAAAACCAATGCGTTCAACTTTGTAAATCACGTTTATACATAATCATTGTTAGCCATACAAAAAAAAACATTAGAATTTTAATAAAAATATCCAAAGGCCTTCAAATTTTTGTTTTGTAATAGTTTGCATAAAAGTTTCGCAGTGACTAATGTTAGTTAAGACTATTTGATTAGACCAAGATTCTGTAGGAAGAAGAAAATGCTAAAAATTATAAAGAAAAAAGCTAAGTTGATGCCAATACATATGTGCCTCCACATTATTAATCATTTCTTTGGTTGTGTTCATGTATAGAAAAAATAAGTATTCAAGCAAAAATATTTATCTACTTTAATTGGCAACTGGCTCTAACATGATTTTAATATATTTACTATGTGTTTGTATGCATTTGCATTTTGTAGATTGCCATATTGCAATATGTTTTCATAGGAAGAAATTTATTTATAAATTACATAAGTGGATATGTATAGGTGCAATATTTGTAAACAAACAGTACTTTTTACATTATCTCCTTCAAATTTTTCAGTCGTTTTAGCTATTCTACATTATAGAAAAAAATATTTATTATAGAAAACATAGAAGAAAATAAGCTTATACTACCAATAAAATTTTTGTAATAGTAAAATATAAAATACATTTCCTATTTCTTTACAAAACTTCGTGCTTACATAAAATTATATTTTTTTATAGCCTTGGTAGCAAAAAACGAAATATGGATGAAATAAGATATTTCTATGGACATAAAATATTTTCAAAGAAATAAAATTTCAAGGTTTTACTTCAGGAATGTTTCTTCTAAATCTGCGATTTATTTGTGTAATAAGTCGTAATAATTAATATTGCACATTACTTGCCACGTTATAATCTATAAAAATTTCGATAATTTGTTAATAAATATAAATTTCTTGTAGCTGCGTAATATATGATGACTTGAATATACGAATTTTTTTATGTTTACATACATTTACATATAAATACACATAAATCAGTTAAATTAATTGAAATAAAAAACAATTTGAATATCTAATATAATCATAAGATTTATTAGAAATCCAAAAAAATGTAAATATATATGTTGTTGATAATATTATCACACTGATAATTATATGCAACATATATATATATATATATATATATATATATAGTTT